GTTCTTTTGTCCAAAACGTCCATATTGCACTAATAGCTGCCTGGCGTATTATGCATACACCACTAAATATGTCGTCGTATTTGTGGCAGCCATCTTGAAATTAATGATATATACCCACATCAAATATGTGTACCTGTATGCATCAGAACAATTTTAGGATTTGTAAATATATTTTAGAAAAAAAAATATGCTGAAGTATGTTGAAAAGATCAAGTTTTTTTTCAATTTTTGGTTAAAACTAGCCATTTTTGGCGACCATTTTGAAAAAAAAACACACTTCCCCTATGTGGCTTTTCTAGACTTTTAGTAGGTGTACGGTAAGAATGGCCCCGGAAAAAATGGCCACGGAAAAAATGGCCCCGGAAATAAAGGCCCCGGAAAAAATGGCCCCGGTAAAAATGGCCCCATATGACAGGTAGGTAAAAATGACCCCAATAATCAAATTCTGTATTAAAACTGATTTTCTTGATTCAATATATGCATTTTTTTATCTTAAATAATTTAGTTATTAAAAGGAATCTAACATCAAACAAATAGCCATTTACATTTTACTTTTTGCAAGAATTAACATTCAATGATAAAATATTCAAAGATACCCTCCTAATTTCACAAAAGAGTGGGTTCTTTTCCAAACAAATACATCCTGCCTAATATTGTGTGTTTAGATTAGATCTTTTGCTTTAACTTTGGAAATTGAGATCATTTTAGATACTATTTCTGTATAAACTAATTTTTTTTTCTTTTCATATTACTGTAAACCTAATGGGGTAAGATAAATTTACTCTGCACTACGGAATTTCCAAAAAAAAGAAAATTAATTAAAAAGACCATAGATTAAAAATAAGTAAGGCGTAACATATTTTTAATCTATGTTAAAGCATAACTATTTTCACATAATGAAATTTAGTAAATCAAATTATTATTTGTGGCTTTTATTTATTAAATCAATTAAGAACATAATTTTTAAAACAAAATTTAATGACAGAAAGATTGACATTTCGGGTCCATCATGGAACCATTCTCAAGATCAAGTAAATTGAAAAAACTAAAAACAAAAATACCAAGCAGTGACAGGAAGTAATTAATTAATTTACATATCAATAGGGCCTACTGTGTGGAGCCACATTGAAGCTAAGCAATAATTAGCCCTTCTTAGCAGATTACCTAGATAAAGAGTTTGGCTTTGACTGAATCAGTTTGTTTGTTAAGTGTAGGTTTCAGTTCTTTGATCCAAAGCATTTGTTTAATTAAGCAATCAAACTCGGATTTGCACTTAGATAAAACCTTGAAATAATTAACAGTTTCAGTAGCATTAATATAATGATCTTTTAAATGTTGTCCTATGTTGCCTTAACTGCGCATAATCATTTCTTATTTAAAATAGAGTTATTTAATCAATCAGTAACTTTTGTTTTTTTAAATGAAATTAATTATTTTCTTTAAAAAGATGGTACCCAAGGCGAGACTTTTTTAAAACCTTGTTTAACGAACTCGCTGACTATTGTACATTTTACTGTACTGTATATATGTATTCCTACTAAAAAGTTTCTAATACTAATTTAACAGCATCTTTTTTAACGCATGCAATGTTACTATTTTTCAAAAGTTGCTTTGTAAGTTACAGTATTGTAACCATTTATTGCCTAAAATAGATGATTATTCCCAAATAAACAAGAGATAAATAACACCTGGACTTTTAGACATGTTGTTTATATGGCATTTCAAAACAAAAGGCTTTTATTTATTGGCTACAGCATAGATTCTCAACCAATAAAAAATCTTTTTTTTTTTAAATTGACCAATTGAATTGTACTTAGTTGTCACAGTGTATTAGATTACAAAATTACATACATCCCAAACCACTTCAGGACCCCCCCCCCCACAATTTGACAGGTCGTCGAAATAAAAAATAAAAATGTGACATGTCTGGCACTGTCTTGAGAGTGTCATTTCTGGCCATCCAGAGGCTCCAATTCTTTAAAAAAATAGATATTTAATATTTGGACTTGTTTTCAATATAACATTTCGTGTTTTTTTCCGTTTTAATATGTTTGTGCTCGTTAGCAATTTAGATTTATTGTTGATGTTATCCATGACATGGTAATACGTACCGCGAAATGCTAGGCCTCTGAAAGTCCCCATAGTTGGTAGTCGCCACGTTATTGGAAATTTTTATTTCAAATTTCACGGAAATGGTTTATAACATTCCCTGCAAGTTCGTCGTTCAAAACTGGTGCCGAATCAATGTTTTAGAGCCTCCCATCAGAGCCATTAATAATAATAATAATATTAATAATTGACCGCAAATACAGTAATAATATCTAATAATATTAATAATTTTTAAAAATACTTAGACCTACTCCCAGAGCTGCTCATAGGAGCTAAAAACTAATTTATTTTAGTTCTCAAATATTTATATTCTTTATGTTGATTTATTAATTAAATTTTTACTACAGGGTATTTTACAGCATATATTTATTTATTATTAATTTTTTTTTTCTTGAATTTTATAATTGAGGGCCATTTTTTATTTCTTGATTCAATTTTTGCTTATACAGTATTTAAATATTTGAAGATTAAAAAAAAATATATCATTTTCTATTACCGAATTTTTCATTGGGGCCATTTTTACCTACCTGTCTTATGGGGCCATTTTTACCGGGGCCATTTTTTCCAGGGCCATTTTTTCCGGGGCCTTTTTTTCTGGGGCCATTTTTTCCGGGGCCATTCTTACCTACATTCCTTTTAGTATGTTAATACAGAGACCTTAAGAAAATGCACTGTGCAAACAAAAAACTCTGTTGCAATTTTTCAACCGTAAGGTGTATTTTTCTTGTAGTTTATTTTATCCAATAATCAAGTGAAAAATATATACAAAGTTGAAAAATAAAAAAAGGGGATTCTTGAGAGAGTATAAAAATAATGTTTGTTCATTAAAGAGATGAAACCAACTATCTATGAGATGTGACCTCAACAGTTTTTTGGGAATTGTTTTCAACCAATATGCCCAGATTGGTCACTTCTTTGCCTTGCATTCCAACCAATATACACCAACTAAATGATTACTCCCAAGCCTTTTACTTACCTGGTAGGACGTACACTGACAATTAAAGTAGAATTAATATAAACAGTAAATACATTATAATACAGAATACATTATGGTTCAAGTAGGCCTATGGTAAAAAAAAATAAAACAAATTAAAATTTAAAAAAATTAAAAATTCAAGTAATAAATACCGTAGGCACTACATTATTGTAATTATTTATAAGAGTTTATATTTATACGTAGATAATAACATGTATATCAACAATACGTACTACAGTTTCTTAATTATTATTAGGTCTCCCTCTAATTAAAGACCATTTTGGGACCAGCGTTTCCATGGCCTTTAGCAGCTTTGGTCTCTAATTTAAAAAAGTAAAGATAAAAGACATTTGTGAATTTGCAACCACAAAAAGTGGTTTTTAATTGGAGGTGGTCTCTAATTGGAGGGGTCAAGTAATAAATACCAACTTCACAAATGTCTTTTATTTTTATTATTCTAATTACAGACCAAATCTGCTAAAGACCATGGAAACCCCGGTCCCAAGTGTGGTCTTTAAATGGAGGGAGACCTGTATTGTATACGCAGCAATGTGGTATCTAACAAAATTAATGTTATCATATACAGTATTTGGTTTCACATGGAAGTAGACTGTGTTTGTAAATCATTTTAATGGAATTCATAATGTAAATAAACTACTGTAGTCCTAATAATAATAATCATACTATTAAATATATAATGTAGTAATTAACAGACACTTAAATGAATACATATGAATATTATCATACGGCATTTGTTTCCACATGGAAGTATGAAGTAGGATGTATTTTGTAAATAAAAGAGGGAAAAAGAAATGGTGTTCAATATCAAGTACTGCACTGTCAATCAAGTATGGCACAGCTGAAAACCCACAGACTGTCTTAGTCTCAAAGGGCTGTTGACAATATTGGACATGGATGAATTTATTGGATGTTTGATGGAAACTCCACCTTCTAATTTGCGTAAAGAGTGGACAGAAATAATTCTGTGCGGACAGAATTGTTTCTGTTCTGGACAGAATTATTTCTGTGAAAACAGAAATAATTCTTTGGTGACAGAAACAAAAGTAGGTAGTACAGAATTGATTCTGTACTACAGAATTGATTCTGAACTACAGAATAGTTAGAAAGTAGTAATTCTGTAGTACATAATTATTTCCGTTAACACAGAATTAATTATGTACAGAGAATAGTATGACAGCAATATTTCTGTTGTACATAATTATTTCTGTAACAACAGAATTAATTATGTACACAAAATAGTGTGACAGTAATAATTTTGTGGTACATAATTATTTCTGTAACAACAGAATTAATTATGTACACATAATAGTATGACAGCAATATTTCTGTTGTACATAATTATTTCTGTAACAACAGAATTAATTATGTACACATAATAGTGTGACAGTAATAATTTTGAGGTACATAATTATTTCTGTAACAACAGAATTAATTATGTACACATAATAGTTTGACAGTAATAATTATTTAGTACATAATTATTTCTGTAATAACAGAATTAATTATGTACACATAATAGTGTGACAGTAATAATTTTGTGGTACATAATTATTTCTGTAACAACAGAATTAATTATGTACACATAATAGTTTGACAGTAATAATTATTTGGTACATAATTATTTCTGTAACAATAGAATGCCTATTTAAAGACATAATTAGCAGTGTCCCAAACGGCGCTCCGTAATTTAGGGATCCAAAGCCTCCAATTATACTGTACCAGTTCCGTATGACTTGGTTTGTACAAATGATTTATAATAGCCAGGGTCACGGAGTTCTCCACAGACAAGTTTATAGGTTTTTACTACAAGCGTTTGACCTTTTTATAATCCTTTTGAAACACAAAGAGAACCTCACTGGGGATTTTGTTGCCTTAACAACACCAGTACAAAAGAGTCGGTATCTATGATCAACAAGCTATAGACGATGTTAACTGTCATCACAAGTTAGCACTATTATCAACAACTGGATCTCGCGCAGCAGACAAACAAAAGGATTATTTTAAAAATATAAAATTAAGCACATATGCTAATTTTAGTAAGCTTTAGTTTAGCAACGGAAGCATTTCGACCATGGTTGTGTGACTACAAATACAGGTGAGACCCGTTGTTGGTTAATTTAAGATAATAATTTAATATAGGTGCGCCTATGTTATTAATTCCTATACCAAAAAGGCTCCTATAGAATAGAAGCAGTATGGTACGTTTCATTCTTTCTATTGGGGCAAACAAATATCGACTCTGTATAATATATAAAATGGTGGGACTAGTGACCTAGTCTTCTGTTTTGAGCAGATATATTGTATAGAGTATGTAGGCTAGTGTGTCAAACATGGAGGAAATGCTCGACGTTCAACTACAGATACCGAACTAAAACCCTATCTTATATATCTGTCTCTTATACACATCTAGATGTGTATAAGAGACAGATACTGTATTTTGTATTATTGCGCAGAGTCATGATAGTCTTACCATTTTAGCTACATTTCCAGGAAAAGGGTATAGATTATTAATATACAGCAGATTCGCCCACCAGTTGTCCCTACATAGTTGCCTAGCACCGTTGAACGTTGCATTTGCAGATGGTCCATCGGCCAGATGGATTAATAAAGACGACCAAATGGCCAAAGCCATAATGTAAACAGGAGTAATACGCCACCAACGGTGGAAATAAAACAGGCCCCAGTTCAGTTTGCCATTGCATTTTTTCAACGTTTTCAGTGTGAGATAGCATAATAGAAGACCACTGAAATGGAGGTAAAATGGTATCGTTACAAAACATATAATAACCC